TCACAAAATAAAAGAATACTATCTGGTGATTGCTGGAGTGGGGAGGGTGGTTGTGAAAGAGAGCCTAGAGGGGATAAATGGTGATGGAAAAATAAAATTAAATTAAAAATTAATAAAAGAATAATAGAAGAATACTGTCTTGAAACATGTGAACTGACTTGATTACGAGGAAGCAGAAACAGGGAGAACCATAACCCAAGAGTAACTGATTTATTCCTCGACCTAATTTCCAAATACTTCTATTCTTAGATAACAACGAATACACATGAAAATTAATTTTTACAATGATGTAATTTCTTCATTATACAAAACACTCTGATTTTCAAGATTTTGGACTTGATTTCTTCACTTGTAAGAAACTCATTTTCATGCACGGTGACTTCAAAGTCAAATAAATATGAATTCAGTCATTTCAAAAACCCAAAGATATTTTTAGAATCTTAGATGACTATAATTGACCAATTTTTCTTGTTTTATATTAAATAATATAGAAAGTTGCTTTTTTTGTGTTTTTTAATTTTCACTTAACTCTTTGGTACAGAAAAACAATGACCTCTATTAAGGACTGAATTGGTTGCCCTCAAATTCATATGTAGAATCCCCAAACCCCAATGTGACTGTATTTGGAGACAGACCCAATAAGTAGGTAAAGGTTAATTAAGTAAGGTCATCAGGGTGGGGCCATTATCCAACAGAACTGGTACCCTTATAAGAAAAGAAAGACACACCAGGGAATGCTGTCTCTCATGCACACAGAAAAGGCCATGTGAGGACACTTGCCAAAAACAGAATTTGCCCACACCTTAATTATGGACTTTCAGCCTCCAGGATTGTGAAAAAATATATGTTGTTTAAGCCATCCAGTCTGTGGTATTTTTTTTATGGCAGCCCAAACTAACTATATAATCTCTAAAAATGAGGAGCTTATATTTTCAAGCTAGTTTTACCAGTTAAACGAGTAGCTGATAGTTACAAAGATGATCCATTTATAAAAGAAAAGGACTGGACCAACTTAAAGAATAATTTATCCCCCCAAATTTTTATATTATGTGTGATTCTAAATTAAACAAATGAAACTGTGATTTTAGAAATAGCATAAAGCTTTGCACCACATAAGATATCACCATGCTGTGCCTGATTCTGAGAGTATGATGGGGCAATACCTATAAAGAAGTCCTCAAAGGAGTATAAATAATTTAACCCTCACAGAAGAACAGTAAACAAAAAAATCTTGAAATAGAAATGCTGATTCTTTTGAAACCCAATAGCATTTGCTCTATATGATGAAGAAAATTTCAGTGGCATTATCTTCTGTTCTTGTACCTTGCCTCAAAATGATATAAAATTTTATTTATTTCAGCCCTGGCTGGGTAGCTCAGTTGGTTAGAGCACCGTCCCAATATGCCAAGGTTGCGGGTTCAATCTCTTGTCAGGGCACATATGGAAAAATTTTATTACTTTGATGCTGACCTTATTAATATTCAGAGAGAAGGCCATATATCCACATTTGGCAATCACTCTTTGCTTAGGATTTCTACATTCTCGGTGGCAAGAAGTGAATTATTAGATCATATATGGCTAATATTTTTATAGGATTCACCCTTTCATTGATAACGATAAAGCCACTTTCAATTTCCAGAACTGTAGGAGAACACAGAGGTTCTTATGCATTCTGGACAAATTTTTAAAACTCTTGGAGGTAGGCGTGTGTGTATTGTGTGTTTATATATAAATACAAAAACACACTTTAGACCTACACATACTGTCAGATGTTTTAAATATGTTTTATAGTGCATTCAAGATTCCTGATTTTGATCATATTTTTTTTAAGAACTCTTTCTAGAGTGCTTCCCATGTGCCAGGCACTGTATCAGGCCCTAGACATAATTACCTCATTTAATGACCACAATGGCATGAGGTAGAGATCATTATCTCATATTAAGAGGAGAACACAAAATTTCAGAGAGGTTAAATGATTGCCCAAATTCCTTCAATCAAAAAATGCCAGAACTAGGATTTATGCCTAAGCTTCTCTGAATCCACAGATGTCTAAGAATGTTCCTTTCTTCTAATCATAAGGAACTATAAACTATCTAACAATGCACTGTTTATATATTCCTAGATTTTTACATCATCTTATCCACACAGGTCTGGTAGCAATGTTTTATAATACCCATGGAACTAATCAAATCAATATTGGCTGAGGAGTTGTACATGCCTACTAATCTTCTAGAAGACTCAGAAGACAATAAAGCAATGTACAGTGAATATGACCTCAGGTAGAGCACCTAAGAAGACTCCTGGTATACAATTGTTAACATCCCTACAGTGTCTGCTTTCTTTCTCTCTAGAATGATTCTTGAAGTTGATCTTAAGTGGAGGTATTTGGGTACTATTATCTGGTAAAATTATGATATTCTACAGGAAAAAGCAAAACACCTGTTTTCTCATTCTCTTCCTATACCAAATTTGACAACATCTGTCAAAGTTCTATAACCTATTAAGCAAAATAGGTAAGAGATTATTATAAGTATTAGTATTTCCCTTATCTAATTGTGGATACAAACTACAGAGGGTCCAGTCTATAGAAATTTTCATTCATTTTAAAACTACCTATAAAAGCAATAATGTAAATCTATTATGTATGCTAGAAACCCTCACTGCATGGTGGAAAAGTCCTAATTTTCGAAACATCAAGATTAATGACTCATTCCTGAAAACTTGCCACAGATAAGCATATCATAGCTCACCGTGTTCCATCTTACAACAAAAGGCATCATGGTCAAATAATTTTACATGTTAAACAGATACATTGACTACGGAACTTCTTAAAAGCTAAATATACTATGTATACTCTGTCTTCCTAGAAGAGCTAAAAATGGAATTATTTATATTATTAGATATTACAGTAAAAATATGCACTGTGCCTATCAGCCCTTCCCTACCACAACCCTCTTAAAAGGCAACTCCTACATCGTGACATAAAGGTTAGCCATGTGACATGCTTTGGCCAAGGAAACATAAGGGGTAGTGCCACTTTCAAGCAGCAGTTTTAAGAGCCACCATTCCACCACCATCCCTTGCTCCTTCTGCCACAATACTAGTACATTCCAGAGAAGTTGCTCCTTCGGCTTTGGTCCAGAAACAAAGAGGACATGGAGCAGAGCAGCAGTAGACTCAGCAGGAACATAAACATGTTGAGAAATGTTTACTGCTATGAACCACTACGAGTTGGGAACTCTTTAGATAATGAAACATAGCTTTACCTAAGCTGAATGATACAGCATGTCTCTTAAATTTATTGGAACCTGGCATCCTTTTGCCACAAAACATTTTCTAGGATTTGTTTCCTAAATTATTCCTGGTCTTGAATGGTATCCTTTCTATTTCTTAGTTAATACTGCATTTAAGGTGAATATATATATGCAAGCTAGAAGCATAAGGTATTAGATAACTGATTTTCTTACATTTTAATCAGCAATTTGGATTTCTGTCAATTTTTGCTCATAGTCAATAAAAATATTATATTGGAGTAATCTGATTAATATTCAGAAATCACAGATCAGATGGCTATTTAAAAGTCAAGATAGTTGTACTAGTGCTGATTAACAATTTAGTTTTCTGAACAGGTCAGATAGTGCCCTGCTTTACTTTTTATATATGTATTCATGTTTAGAAAATTCAGAATACTTCTAAAAATTGAATTTTCTTTTAAACCCTCACTATGCTTAACTCCCTTACTTGAAATTTCAGTATCAATATTCAAATATTCTATGGTCTATTTTGCTGATCTAGTAAAAACCATAATCAACTGTAAGTCCAGAATGTGTTTTTCTAACTTAATTTTGCCTTAAAGGATAGCACAGAAAGGAGGAAAGATGATAATTAAATCCCAATCGTCTCACTGGCATTTAGATTTTGTGGGGTGTTTAAAATCCTAGTAAATACACATTCAAGCTAAATTGCATACATTTTTACTACGTGTACAACCCTACACAATGACCTTCAAAGGAATAGTTCAGAGGCCTTATATTTAGGCTTACATAATAAAAACAACATTCAATCATAGTTACTAAAACAAGAAGATAAACACAGATATTCTAGGCAGATTTAATAAGCTAACAAAAATACTTAAAAACAGAAAAGATTCAAGATTAATTTTCAATTAATTAGTGATTAAAAATTAAGTTCATGCCCTGAAAACGGAAGTAAACAATATTTTCTATATATGTTTATTTTAATTTACATCAAATTCCCCAGTCTTATAAATCATCAATTCACCATAAATGTTCAGGCACCAGGAGAGCAATCATACATTTTATTCTCAAATGAGAAAACTGAATATATTAAGTAACCACTATAATTAATCTTAATATGTTATTGCTGTATTTTAAACCATTAAAATTTTTTTCCTAAAGAAACAACTTTGAAAATAACTTATGTACAAGAGAACAGTTATAATATTTGTGAGTTTTAGGGTTTCATATAATTTGCACATGTATGTATTTTACAATCTCAACTTTTCCTTCATTGTGTGGTTTTCATATTCAAAACAGTTTTATGATGTTGTTAGACACACCTCCATAACGCTTTGATACTGGCAGCCTAAGGCAGTACCAAAAAATAGCTTTTGGGGAACAGGCCAATTTAATATTTAGTAATGTAACTAGATACTCAAGACTTAAATAACTTGACTTTTCACCAATAGTACATTACGGTAGAGAAACAAATTAGAGAATTTGAAATAGTTAATTTATATAAATTCATGATTTTAAAGAAAAATTTAACTTACTTGGTGATGGAGATTAAAATGTCACTTTTAAAAAGATAATGAAATTGACAAGGAAAAAACCCACAATTATCACACTTCCCTGATCAATAAGGAAGGTGAATCCATCATATAAGAAAAAGCTGAGATTAGTTGTGAGGGCATGTGGTCCTTGACTGCTCCACTGCTTCCAGGTAAGTAAGGAAGATGGCACCTGCAGTGCTGTTCTTACCGGTCAGGTCAAGACTTTCCATTGTGATTTCAATGGAACATCAGAATTCCCAGCTTCCGTGATGCAGCAGGATTCTGCGAAAGAGCCATAGCAAAGTGTTAAAATGGTGAGCCATGAAACTCTTTCAAACAAAGCTAACACTTATTGTCCTTTACCAAAAAATCACCCCCAAATGAATTAACAGCCAAACCATCAAAACCAGACAAATTATTAAAAATCCCTACATTAAAACTATTTAGAAAAAGTGGACTAAAGTATTTTTGTCAACTTTAACAAAAAGACAATCTTTAAAATTACTCAGTGGGAATTCTCAGATAAAAGTTAAGATACAAAGAACTATAAAGACAACCTCTCAGTTTTTTGGCTAAAATCAAGTATAGAATTACAGGCAAATCCCCTGACAAAAAACATGATGTTATATTGGCATCCTGACTAGTTATTTTATTTACTTACTTATTTATTGTCAATCGCACCCAAGATATGTATGTATGTATGTATGTATGTATGTATGTATGTATGTATTGTTAACCCTCACCCTAGGGCATTTTTTCCATTGATTTTTTTTTTAAAGGGACAGTGGTAGGGAGGGAGGAAGGGGGAGAGAGAGAGAGGCAGAGAGAGAGAGAGAAAGAGAGAAACATCAATATGAGAGACACACGGATTGGTTGACCAGGGCTGAGGATTGAACCTGCAACCCAGGTATGTGCCCTTCACCAGGCATCAAACACTCGACCTGGACCAATGCTCTAACCACTGAGGTACACTGGCCAGGGCTTAAGTTATTTTAAGTTGCTGACCCAACCCAACCAGATAGACTATGGTTCATATGTTAATATTTCATAATTTATCTTTTAAATGTTTTAAAGATAATGAGTGGAACAAGATACTTAAAAAAGACGGGTGGGAGAGGCACACACAAATAGAGAAAAACTGGTAATAAAAAATTACCTTCTAGCTACAAGTAATGCAGTAAATATAAGAGGTTCAAAATCAGCAAAAGGATGTCCAACAAATTAAATAAACATTTTACATTATACTGAAAATATAACATATACCTAAACTGTATCATTTGTACGAATTGTTATCTCAGCTTCTATGTGAGACATTCATTTAGTTTCTAGGGTGCTTTAATTATACGAAATTCACACTCAACTAAGAGAGATAATTTCCTGCCCCCTTGCAGATTATGACAACATAGTTCCTTATGATCAGTACACTGTAACACACTAGAAATCAGGCATCACTTACTAGCTTATAGCTTTATCAAAAGTGTTAGTCATTTTATGGCTTGGCTGAAGTTTTGTCCCTAATCAGTCACTATGATATGAAAGAACTGGCTCTTACACATTAAATATCAAAAATGTGTAATGATTGGCTTTCGGTCAAGATGGCCACGTAGGTAAATGCGGTCCTCGCATCCTCCCACAATCACATCAGAATTACAACTGCACTACAGAACAGCCATCATTCAGAACCTCCTGAAAGCTAGCTGAACAGAAGTCCTACAATTAAGGATGTAAAGATGAAGCTACACTGAGACTTGTAGGAGGGACCACGAGCAGAAGGGGCTGGTACTACATGGAGGTCCCCGCTGAGGAGTGAGGGGTCCCAGCCGCACACCGGGCCTCCCAGCACAGGGTTCCAGTGGCAGGAAGAGAAGTCCCCATAAATTCTGGCTGTAAAAACCAGCAAAAATTGAGGCTGAGGGAGATAAAGGGCTGCCGGAGTCCCAGGTGTTTCTCTTAGAGGACGCACACAAAGACTCACTCCCTCTGAGCTCCACCACTGGGGCAGCAGCTCAAAAGGCACTAGGGACGTACCGGGAAGAACTAAGTTGTCTGGCATCAGGGTGAGAGCTGTAGGGGCAGCTTTCTCCCAGACAGAAGTGCTGGCAGAGGCGATTGCTCCTTTTCTGAACCACTGTCCACAGAGGCAGCAGGTGGGCACCATATCTGAGTCTCCATCAACCTGGCTATCATCCCACCCTGGTGATTCCCTAAGACCCCACCCCACCCAACCTGTTTCCAGCAGCTTTTCCATATAAATGGCCTATCTTGGCTCATGCTTCAGACTCTCCTAAAACCTTTCAAACAAGCAGCAGCTGGCCTCAGCAAGCCTTGTAACTCTCGTTAAGCAACCCTAGGCTGGCAGTATTGGTAGTAGACCTTGATTTGTAGCTTGGTCTTCTCCTGGGCACCTCCAAGCCCAGCACAAGTAGCAGCCATCTGCAGATCACTTTTTAGCTCACACAGAGTGGTGCTAAGCTGGGCACAGGTGGTGGTTGACCTTGGCCTGCACCTTTCAGAAGGCCAGGTGGACAGCTTCAGACTACATCAAAGCACCATTCAACCACCTCCACAAGTGACACACTCAAGGGGAAGACACAGCAGGCACCAGAGCCCTATGAAGTTAGTCCTGCTTCCTGCGGGGTGGGCCCCTGCACAGCTGATCCTCCAGGGAGGTTGCAGCCAGTCCTTGCAGTTGATCGGCCTGGGGATAAAGCCCTCCCATTGATGTGCCAACAACAATCAAGGCTCAATTACAACAGGAGAGTGTACACAGCCCACATGGAGGGAGGAGAGGCATGTGCATAAGCCCAGCTTGGGTGATTGGGGAGGCTGTGCCACTGGACCCCACAGGACACCTACCACATTAGGCAACTCTAGTAAGCTCGGGAGACATAGCAGCTCTACCTAATACATAGAAACAAATACAAAGAGGCTGCATAAATGAGGAGACAAACATCCCAAAGCACAGATTAAAACTCCAGAAAAAGAACTAAACAAAATGAAGACAAGCAATCTAGTAGATGCAGAATTCAAACACTAGTTATAAAGACGCTCAATGAACTTAGGGAAAGAGTAGATGAACTTAGTGAAAACTTCAACAGCATAAAAAAAGATATGGAAACCATAAAAAGGAACCAGTAAGATATGAAGGCTACACTAACAAAAATGAAGAATAATTTACAGGCAATCAACAGTAGAGTAGATGAAGCTGAGAATCAAATCAGTGATTTGGAATATAAGAAAGTAAAAACCACCCAATCAGAAAAGCAAAAAGAAAAAATAATCCAAAAATATGAGGATAGTATAAAGGAACCTCTGGGATAACATCTGCATCACTGGGGTTCCAGAAAGAGAAGAGAGAGCAAGAAATTGAAAACCTGTTTGAAAAAATAATGACAGAAAACTTCCCTAATCTGGTGTAGGAAATAGATGTACAAATTCAGGAAGCACAGAGCGTCCCATAGAAGATGAATCCAAAGATGCCCATACCAAGACACATCATAATTAGAAGTGGCAAAGGTTAAAGACAAAGAGCGAATCTGAAAAGCAGCAAGAAAAAAGCAGTTAGTTACCTACTAGGAAGCTCCAATAAGTCTGTCAGCTGATTTCTCAACAGAAACTCTGCAGGCAAGAAGAGAGTGGCAAGAAATATTCAAAGTAATGAAAAGCAAGAACCTACAACCAAGATTACTCTACCCTGCAAAGCTATCATTTAGAGACCAAGGACATATAAATAACGAGTTTCCCACACAAGAAAAGGCTAAAAGACTTCACCACCACCAAACCAATTATTACAGGAAATGTTAAAGGGTTTTCTTTAAGAAGAAGGGAAAAAAAGATAAAAAATATGAACAATAAAATGGCAATAAATACATATCTATCAACAACTGAATCTAAAAAAAACACACACTATAAATGAACAAGCAGAACAGGAAAGGAACAGATTCATAGATACAGAGAACGTTCTGGTGGTTGCCAGATAGAAGGGGGCTTAGAGGAATGGGTGAAAGTGAAGAGATTAATAAGTACAAATTAGTTGTCACAGGAAAGTCATGGGGATGTAAAGTACAGCATAGGAAATATAATCAATAATATTCTAATAACTATGCATGGTGTCAGGTGGGTACAAGATTTATTGGAACGATCACTTAGGAAGTTATACAGTGTCTAATCACTGGATTGCACACCTGAAATATAATATAATATTGTATGTTGACTGTAATTAAAAATAAAAATTACTTTTATTTCTTTCTTTTTTTTATATCTTTATTGATTTCAGAGAGAGGAAAGGAGAGGGAGAGAGATAGAAACATCAATGACGAGAGAGTTGTCATTGATCGGCTGCCTCCTGCACGCCCCTGACTGGGGATTGAGCCCGCAACCCGGGCATGTGCCCTGACTAGGAATTGAACCCCAATCACCTGGATCCCAAGTCAATGCTCAACCGCTGAGCCATGCCTGGCCGGGCAAAAAATACTTTTAAATAAAATACAAAAATAGCCCTAGCCAGGTGGCTCAGTTATTTAGAGCGTAGTCTGTACACCAAAAATGTTGTGAGTTCAGTTGCTGGTCAGGACACATGCTTAGGTTGTGGGTTTGATCTCCAGTCAGGATGTGTACAGAAGGCAACCAATCAGTTTCCTCTCTCACATCAATGTCTCTCTCTCTCTGTATTTCTCTCTCTCTTTAAAATCAATGAAAACATATCCTTGGGTGAGAATTTTTTTAAAAATAAATAATTAAAAAACAAAGAGAAAAAACACAAACGGGTAATGATTCATCTGAGTAATACTGTCTAGACTTAGATGATTCAGTTGTCACCCAGTGCTACTAGAGAAAACAATAGCTAGAAAGAATGCATAAAATATTAAAAGGTCTCATGTAGCTTCACATGAGATACTACTCATTCATCCATATTTTTTAAAACAAAGGCATGGGTAAAAGAATAAATTTTGATCTTTGAAAGGACACATAAATGAATACTTTCAAATTAAATAACTGTGTTTTTACTACGGGAACATGCAAAAGTCTATTCTTAATTATAAAATAGGCAACTAATATTATTTAAAATGCTGTTATAAGAAATTAGATACACTATTATATATTCATTTGCTACATATAAATACATAAAGGCCAGTATAGAAAACAAACATTAAACTAAAAATTGTAAAATAAATGAGTAAAAATTATGAAGTAAAAAATGACTATAAATAACTGTCAGGTAAATCAATCGGTATAAACTAAAAATTCAATATAATTTGTACTGCCAAAATTGGGAGAGGAGG